TCTCAGTAACATTCTCAACGTTATGTGCTGTATGGATATTATTTATATATTTAAAAAGAAAAGTTTAGTGTAATATTACTAAAATAATACTGCAAAAAGGTTTTGTAATATTTCTGTAATATTGTACTGTGCAATATGTAATTTTGCAGCGTTGTAACAATGTAGCTGCTTCTGTCTTATATGGGATTTCAATCAGTTCTGTAAAAATTATTATATATAATTATTATATATTCTTTAGAGTTAGTGCTAACATATATCAATATTTATTACATAATTGCTATATAATTTTCACATATAATAATTATACAACATTTCAGTTAGATATTATACTTTTATTTATTTTATTATATAACTAATATCCAATGTTACTTAATGTAATTACAATTCCGGACTGCTATTTTAAAACATTCATTTCACGTTCATACACAGTCCGTATGAAATACAATTATATTATATATCCAGCATTGTTCATTTATGTCCATCAAATAATATTCACTGGGCATATTGCAGAGATTAAATCATGTTTATAATTTCATAAACGGATATGCTATGTATATCCAGTAAATATTTGAAGGATTGCATAAAACGAAAATTTGATGGATACCCTGTTGAAAATTCTTGTAAGTTTTTTGTATTAGATCTTAAAAGAGTTGTATGTGATCAATCAAAATTACTAAATAAACGTACAGGATGTTGCATTACCATACAGGTCAGTATGACGGGTTGCCCATGCAGGCGTGCAAGATATCGTTCACAATTGCGTAGATTTCGGCGGCACAATCAATGGCACACCTTCTTTTCCAATAAAGTTCGTAGCATATCAAATTGCAATTATGATGAACTTTCGTAGAAATAGGTTAAAACAGAAGCCGAAGTGACGAGATACAGGTTATAAAAATTTTATGAAAACTTCCTTCTTATAAGAAAAATTCGATCATAGTCGATCATAATCATTATGTAATGTAATTTGATATTACTTGAATTATATATTTTTACAGAGAACGAAAGTCAGAAATAAAAATATCTTTGCAAATTTAAATTATAAGTCGATCAATAAATTTGATTCACTGCAAATTTAAATAACGACAATTATCGGGAAATCTTATAATATTTATTTGGAAGAATAATAATTCATTAATAAATTGATAATTTAATAAACTGTGATTAATAAGCAATTATACAATTCTTTATATAAATGACTGCATTATATCTATATTTTACAAATCTTCAAGAAGATCATTACTTAAAAAACGTACATTGAATGATGCTAACTTACATCTCATAAAACTTGCCAAGTTGTATCATATTTAATGTATATTTTTTAGTAATAATCCTCTTGAAGATTTATAAGGTGCAGTCTTTTATATAAAGAATTATATAATGCTATTAATACCAGTTTATTAAATTATTATTAATGAATTATTAACATCAGTTTATTTAATTTAAATTGTTATTAATGAATTATTATTATTCCAAAATAAATATAAGATCTACCGATTATTGTTATTATTTAAATTTACAGTGAATCAAATTTATTGATCGATTTACAATTTAAATTTGCAAAGATATGTTTATTTCTAACTTTCGTTCTGTGTAAAAATAATTCAAGTAATCAAATTATATTACACAATAATTACGATCGACTATAATCGAATTTTTCTTATAAAAAGGAAGACATGTGTCACGTCCTGATTCACGTTTTCTTCGCGAGCACGAGACTCGGTATAGTTTGGTGGAGCATGAGCGCGGAGCGGGACGCGCGGGACGAAGCCTTGGCTTCGGCTTGTTTTGTTTTGACAAGTTTTTATATTTAGGCAGGCTGCTGTCACCAGTGCCTTTATTATAGGCACAAATTGATATGATTTCTCAGTCTCGGAGTTTTATTATTAGATTCTATATTCTCGCTGCCTTTGTGTACCTTATAAGGTGCAGAGAAAATTTGTAGAGAGTTTAGAGGAATCATCAGATTATAAAGCGCTCAGCGAATATAGAAATAATATAATCTCTCTTTTAAGCGGCTGTGAATATATCATCACCTAATTCGCTCTATCTACGCTCTCTTCTTTCTCTGTAGGAAGATACGAGAAGGGGTAATGATCTTTTTACTAAATGATACGGTTTAATTTTTATATTTATTTTATATGTTTGGTCGGAAATTATCCGAGGTTTGGTTTTTATATTAGTTATTATTTGTGGTCTAGTGGGATTTCGCGTTCGGGAGCCACATACGAGGGCTATCGTGATGGCGGTGGTATCCTAGCGGGGTCCTCGATTAAGATATGCGCTTTCTGGACGTGCTCAGTGGACGCTATTTGAATCGTGGATTCCGCGGAGGTTCCCGTTTTTTGTCCCCTTGGAATGTTGTGCTTCGGTGCCGCTATCTGTCCCCCAATAGTTCGCAGGATCGAAGTCTCCGCTGGCATGCAGAGACTTTTTGAGTGCTCTCAAATGGACGCGCCAATCCCCTCGTTTTCCTCTAGGGCGTTTGGCCTTTGGCATCTACGATTATGTGAATTATATTAATATAGAGGGGAGTGTAGAGGCTTCAACGCCGTTAAAAGGCGCTCGTTTGAGTTCCACAGAAGAAAGTTCCTAGTCTATCGACACTCTGTTCGAAAGCACACGTCAAGACTTGGGGGAGAGGAATGGCTTCTCGACGCCTGGGGAGGCGCACGTCAAAGCCGGAGCTTTTTACGGAAAGACGAAATTTTTGCTTGCGCTCAGCTTAAGCGCGTAGTATTCTTAACGTAACTTATGGATAGGAAAAATTAGAGTCCGTGAACGCTTCGCTTATATATTGTTGTCTTTGTGACCCCTCGCGGCAAGGGGATGTTTCTTTCTTTATTCTATCGCAAAATCTTCTAGAATGTTCTATTTCTACGATTTGTAATTAAGCTCTTTAGTTACCTGATTTTTCTTAGGTCGGGTACAATATTTTGTTCTGGGGATCGCGGCGCTTGTTTTAGTGTACTTGATTGTCGTTTTTCGCAACCCGACGCGGTCAAACTTGCATTTATTCCTTGCGTGTGTTTTTTCATTATAGATTTGTAGAGTCGCCGTGATTCTTTCGCTGCGGCATGCGCGAATCTCCCATGTTTGTTTTAAGGCTTTTTTCTGATTGTGTCGTTCTGAAATTAATCTTAGTAGTCTTATTTATGTTGTAGGATTTTTCTATAGCAGCTGGATACGTCTCGTATTGCACTGGGATGCGTTTTATAGGTGATACGCGATTTTATCTACTACTCGCGAGGCGGCGTTTTGCGTTTGTGATTATCTTGGAGTCATTTATTATGTTTTCCATTTCTTATCCGGTGGTGATGCTATTTATGCGAGGGAATGCATTTCTTTAGTAGTTTCTTTTGTTTAGTGATTAGCGCAAGCGCAGTGCGCGCGGCGTTCGATCGCAACGGTTTCGGTGGCCTATAGCTTTACCTAATTGTAGTTGACGCGTACTATGCTCTCATGTTATACTTCGTGCCTTGCGCTCTGCCTAGTGGAGAACGGGGCGCTATGCTATAGGCGCACCGGACATTACACATGCTTTATTTTCACGATAAAATTTTTATAACTTATATCTTGTCGATCCGGCTTCTGTTTTAACCTTCTACTTCTACGGAAGTTCATCATAATTGCATCACAATTTGATATGCTATGAACTTTATTGGAAAAGAAAGTGTGCCATTGATTGTGCCGCCGAAGTCTACGCAATTGTGAACAATCTTGCGCGCCTGCACGAATGGGCAATCTGTCATACTGACCTGTATGGTGATGCAATACCCTGTACATGATCATATAAGAATCTTATATAATTTGTACATGAATTTCACCAGTAATCTTTAATGACCTAGGAATCTGAAATGAATCGACGATTTATATCGCAGTGAAAAAATCTTGCCTTAACCTAAGAAATTTTAAAAAGTTTCTTTACAGGATTATCTAAGAATATATATTAATTATGTATGATTCCTAAGTGTTACATGAAAGATCATGTGTCAGTCTTAAAAAACATAGTTACGAAATAATTTATCTTTCAAGTTGGTGCAGGAATCTGGCATGAATCGTACACGACAATTTATATTGCAATGAAAAGATTTTAATTACTTTAGCCTAATAAGATACTTGTAAAAAATAATTTATTTACGTGATGACTCCAAAGTAATAAAGGTATCGATCATCCCTGTAAACGAAATGGAATAGAAACTGGATTGAATATATGAAATGAAAAGAATGAAGAAAAATTAAAAAATTTGTTAGAATACTGAAGATGACTGAATATATTATATTCTCACTGTTTTAATGAATTGACAAATTATAATTTCGCTATAATAACTGGCATAGGTTTTTTATGCTCCTTTCCCAAATTAAGTTTGATTTAGTCGGAAAGTCGTTATTCAATTTGTGTAAAAAGAATTAAATTTATCCAAAATGAACTCTTTTAAATCCCATTCAACTCCTTGCTTGTCTATTTTATTTACTAAGATACGAGCAATAAATCATTCAAAATTCCAATAGTATTCTTGTAATATTTGCATAATGATACTCCAGTTATATTCTTGCAAGATTCACGTTACATGTGCGCAAGATTCATGTAACGTGCGTGTAAAAGTTATGTAGCATGCTTATAAGATCATGTAACATGGGTGTAAGATTCATGTAACATGCGTGTAAAAGTTATGTAGCATGCTTATAAGATTCATGTAACATGGGTGTAAGATTCATGCAAGATTTTTCATTTACTTATAGATATCGTATGCGATATATTCTTATACACTCTTGTATGTTTCTGTCCAAAATTCGTATGTGAAAATTTTCTTGGAAGATCTCACAAGAATTTTTCTTGTAAGAATTTGCAACGGGGTATTCTCTAATATTTTTGAAGGATATCTTACGGATGTTTTTCGCATGTTTATGTGGTATATGCATGTTATCATATAATTACTAGAAAAATAGGTTAACAAATTAACATAAATTCTCCTGAAGAAGAGTACTATTTTTATTAGGTTGAAATTCCGTCCGAGTATCTAGGAGATTCGGAAACGTCCCTTTTACATGAACAGTATCTGTCTCTCATTGACAAATTTAAGACAGTTCATAAAGAAAAAGAGATAGGGAAGAAAGTATGTAACTCTTGTTTCTCCCTTAAAGAATCTCGTTGCTGAACATAAATAATAAAATTTTCTTTTTATTTATGCAGAATGTTGAAACTGCTGTTGAGCTTGCAATGGATCTACAAGCAATGACAAAGGAAAAAGAAGTAAGTAACAGATGGCAGATAAAAGCGAATCGGATCAATATAAGCTCTAAGGGCGGTATTCATAATCAGTTCTTATTTTAAGACTGTCTTAAGTAAGACATACGAAACTGTTTCCGATACAAAGGAAACGTGCGGAAGTAATTAAAATAATAAAACAGTTCGTTTAATATAAAAAAATTACGCAATCGTCTCAAAGTTAATCAAGGTCTTTAGTAAAATGCCAAAAATTTGGTGTGCACAAAAATTTGGTGGGCCCACTCAAAATTGCAAATATCTGTACAATTTGAATAAAATATCAAAGCTATGTGTATATTTTAATGGAAGAGTACAATACTATTGTATGAAACAGATAATAGTAAATCAAGACCTGCATCTTCACCAAAAGAAAACAAGAGAGTATATTTACTTTTCGAGGTTAAATTTGTATTTGCCAAGTTTATACACGTAAATATCTTTCCAGAATGGCCGTTGATCTATTATTTTTTTGTGACCATTACAATCGTACTTTTTTAATTATCATAATCATGTTTCTTAGAGAATTGTCTATGAAAATATTTGATGTGTGCAGTTAGTCAAAGAAATGTTTCCAATCCTTATTTATCACTAACAAGGAGAGGCCACTCTCTACTCTTCGTCGATTTTGATCAAAATTTTCGTCTAGGTCATAGTTGATGATGCCACTCAAGGTTAAACTAATAAAACCAGTAAATAGATCTTATTAAACCCTAGCACTTTTGTCTAAGACATTTTTCTCAAAAATGCATATTTTCCAAGATATTAGACTTTCTAGATTTTTTGTATATTTTTAAATGCCCATTACTCACAAGGGACCATCTCGGTTTGTACAACAAGTTAGTGAAAATCCTTGATATCAGTAAAAGTTGATAATATAAGATGTAAATTAAGGAAAATGGCGGGACCGTATACATCAGCAGTCAGAACTTGTGCTAGTAGTCGACATTTCGGCTTTCTGTACTATTACTTACTATCAGCGCGGATTCTGATTAGCTGCTGTTTTTCCGCTTTCTGCTTTTCCGCCAACGCGCTCTTAGTTTGTTATTACAATCTCATAGTGACGTCATATTTCTTGATTATTGTGACTTTATTGCAACGTGAATGTGATCCTTTGCTATAGGAGTAGCATTCCTGACGATAGCATTTTTAGTTTCACGCGATGTACAAAGTCTACCCTATCACGCCGCGACTAATACCGTCCGTCTTGTATCTTCTGCTTCCTTTTTTTTTCTTCTTAACTTTATTTTAAATAATTATTATTTCTTTACATTTATTTATTATTTCTTTACAGATACGTTTAATTAGCTCATCTCGACGCGCGTTATTCCGCGTCGCATGACGCACTTTCCTTCCGAAATTTCCCGCATTCTTCTCACTTGGAAACGTATCGTACATATCATTTCGAGAAGTACGTCCAAGGTCACCTCGATCCGACCAAGCCGCTAACTTATCGACCGACCATCCAATTATTGGCTAACCAGCAAGGAAAATTTCTCCATCGCCTTCATTTGTTTACGAAATCTTCAGTTGATTCCGTCTAGACTAGTCCTTCATCTAGACGAGTTTTGCAATCTTTCTAGTCCTTTTACAATCTTTCTTCTTTATTATCAACCTTTTTTTCGTTTTTTTTTCATGCTATAAAAGGAACTTTTTTGTGATTGTTGAGATCATGCATTTTCACGACACGCGTTGCGCGAAATTCGAGTTACAAAAATAATAGACGAATTTTTATCGATCTTTTCATTGTGGCATATATTTCCTTGCGAATTTCGGTATTCTTCCATTGTATCCATTCTTCGTTCTATTTTATTTGGGATTATCTGGTTTATAGTCCAATTACTCTTGCACTTCATTTACTTTTGCAAATTTAGTTAATTGTTTTGATTTTGTTTATTGCAATGGAGACACACATTAGCAATTGTAATAAATCATCTAAAGATATCGTTAACGTACTTGCTATCTTGTGTCAGATTCATAATGTTAACATGGAAGAGTTTGATCCGCGCCTGCATCTTGGCTTCGCGTAATATCTCGTTCTTCTGCCAACTGTCTTTACCGAATTAGCGCTTATGTACCAGCGTTCTTATTATCGATCAAGAATGTAACATCGAATTTTATGGATTGATCGCGCAATTAAATCCTTGTAATACATCTTTTATTCCTTCTTTAAACAAAAAATTTACAAAATTAATATTTACAATCTTTTTTAATTCTTGGTATCGAGTCGCTTACATATTAACGCTCTATCTTTCATGTTTGTGCAGTGGCACTCGTGACACTATGAAAAATAGGGAGTTTCGTTTATGATTTTCGTGTTAACCTTGAAAGCAATTTCCTAGGTCATTCCAAGGTCAAATTAATATCATCATCTGATAACTTTTTAAAAATCTTATTACTTTTATTTCAAACATTTTTTAGATAAATCAATATTTTTTAAGATATTAGCCGTTCTAGAACTTTTACCATGCATTATAACATTAAATTTCTCGGAACCTACGACCTATACGGTCCCGCCATTTTCCTTAATTAACATCTTATATTATCAACTTTCGCTGATATCAAGGATTTTCACTAACTTGTTGTATAAACCGAGATGGTCCCTTGTCAGCTTCTAAGGCCCATTAGCAGGAACGTCTTTACAGATGTTCATTTAGTAGGCTCCTTTAACATCACTGCGATTTTGATTAAAATCGGTGAAGAGCAGAGCGTAGCTTCTTCTTGTAAGTTATACGTTAAAAATTACCTTATTAACATTTTTCCTGTCTCATTTCATCATTAACCTACTCTAGAATTAATACACGCCAAGTTCAGTATTTCAACTTCATTAGGGATGAGAGAACAAAGCGGAAGGAGAGGCAAAGAGTGTCAAATATTATATATTCAAATATCTGAACGTGCCGCGGTCGTGACTTTGAATATGCGTATGAGTCACCATCTTACGGTAAGCAATCGAATTTAGTTCAGCTGCGACAATTGAGTGAAGCGTAGAGATCCTATTTAGATCGGAGATCCTATATAGGATTTTTGATGAAGCATATGTACAGTCGGTGACGCTGAGGTTGTTACACTTTTTTTTCGGTTTCCAGAATACGCAAAAATTTTCAGAGTGCAATCCAGGGTATGGACACACTCATGTCAAATCGTATTTCTGCATCATCTGGGCGAATAACAAATTTTTCGAAACTAGAAATTTAGATTTCTATTGAACTGGTAATGTGATTCTGTTCAATTCTATCATCGCCAGCTTTCCGACAGGACTAAACGGTAATAATTGTGAAAAAGATACTAATGGAGAAGTTTTATTTTCGTTACATTTTATAGAAAACAGTATTCATTCAGTAGAAATCTTAATTTCTAATTCTAAAACTTTGTCTTTTCGCCTAGATAGTGCAGAAATATGGCTTGACTTTTTTCAGAGGAGAGTAGTATATGGGCAGCCATCTCCATACAGCATACTAATGTTGAATCAATATCTCAGAAATGTTGATTTGCAACATTGCGAACATTGCAATAATATCGCGAAATGTAAATTTAATGTTGAAGAGACGTTGCAGAAACGTCTAATGTCCATTGAATTGCAACGTCTGTGAAACATAAAAAATGTTTCTCATAATAATTAATTCAATTTTATTATTAAAATAAGTGTTATTGATTAATATCATATTCTAGAACACACATGACAAAATTATAATTGAAAAAAAAAACGCTTCACTCTCATTTGGCAATTAATTTCCTTATTTTCCTAAGCGGTCACCCATTCAATTTTGTACGCCATTCAACGGTGCTTAATCTCTGCAATCGTACGAGAACTGCAACTTCGATGATTCACGAACACTGAATATTAGTGGATGTATAATTGTGATTTATAGATATGTAGAAAGACCACAAATCGACATCGCACATTGGATTGGTCAAACACAAACTATTGTACCATATGTGCAAGCATTCTACACGCGCGGCCGATTCTCGCGTAAACATATATCGTTTAGAAATGAGTTTTGTTAAAAGATCAATTTAAGTGATTTAAATTATATATTTGCATGACATTTGATTTTTGTTCGTTTTGTACAAAATAAAATAGGTTTCAATATATAATTTATTCAATGTCGTTTCAACGTTGCAGCAACATTAACAATCAATGTGGAAAAATCAATAAAAATTCAACTCGTGGTTCAATTTGTTCAATATTGTTTCAACATTGCAGCAACATTAACAATCAATGTAATAGAAGAGTCAATATAGGTACAATATTAATAAAAAAACATTTACACTTCAACATTCAACATTGCAACATCTCAGCAACATTCTTTCAACGTTCTGTGCTGTATGGGAGGGCATTATATAATAACAAACCCTCTCCACCTCTCCCTTGGCGCTGTGGACGTAACCTAGACGGGTCAGTCTGGAAAAATGGCGCGCTCATTAGTCGAGGAGTGAAGAATGGGATAATTTAATGGTGCGTTCTGATTGGTTCGAACCGTACCTTCCGTAAGAGGTGATTGGAGAAGAGAATGGTAGAGGACTTCCGATAAAATGAAAAGAGAAGATTAACAAAATAGTGAGTAAGAGATTGGGACCATAACATTTTTTGTCATGGGGGGAGGGGGAAAGGTACGAACAGACATGAATAGTAGATAGTTTTCTGGCGGTTATTGTTTTGATTGGCGCGATACATTGTCTGCGGCGTGCTGGCGTTTTAGTGAAAATGTTTTTTTTTATTTTGATTTAGGGAACTTTTACGAAAATCTTCGAGTCTTCAGGGACTCTTGCTTTTGCTAGGAAGAAAGGGAAGATAAAACAGGAACTATCATGTTCAACTGACGCAACGCGTCGTCTCCAGTGTGCTGATTCGAGCATTAAATTTAAAAAAAATTCTTTCTAAATTTTATGTATTTAATATACATTATCTAAACCTGAATAGGAAAAAACGTGTCTATTGTAAATGGGGATGAGGTTAAGAGTAAGAAATAGACGAAATTTATAAGTCCAAATTGTTTATTTAAAAAAGAGATATTACATGAAATAGTTATTTTACGTTTTTAAAAGAGTACACGATTGTATATGAC